GAAATCATCATGATGCCCTGTGGTTAAGGTCTGGTTAGGTTTAGGCACAAAAACCACTTGGTTAGGGTCAGGAAAAGATCATGGTGTGGGTTAAAATGAAAAAGAAAGTGGCAAACACATAAGCTGTGAGCCTGCTTCGCCTCAAGCCTTTCTCAGTTGACCCAGAGCCAGTCGCGGGGCACCATCAAGGTAGAAATACGCCCGCCGGGAGCCGTTCAGCACCGCGGAGAGCTCCCCACACAACCCGGACCCCAGAGTTAATAAAAGGAGGTTATGGTGTTTCACTCTCTTCTCTCTATGGCACTTGTATCTCGACCAGTAGCCTACTTTTGTTGCGTTTGCTGATCCTCTATGGTACACAAATACAGTATAGCCTAGTATAATCACATATCGGAACAACGGGATGTCGGACCAATGGGCTGTTGGCCGTCCAATGACCTAATGGTCTGTTTTACTGGACTGTGCATAACATAGGAAATTTTATGTCGTTGTGGTTGATGCTTGGGATGAGTATGCTACAAATGAACTGCCTCATGTGGGATCAATAAAGTTGTCTGAATCTAAATCAATAAATAATATTTTAGGGTAGCCTACATGTCCCTAGCTTTTTTTCCTCTCATTTGAAACAGTTAACCACAGGGCTCCAAAGGCTCCAAGTTAGACAGCAAACAAGTGAAATAGCTACAGTAGCCATTGGTGGACAGTTCACAGCACAGCTAGACTAGACTTGCCAAGCATGCTGCTCACGTGGATGGACCCACACTACCAGTGGACTACCTTGCTGCTCATGTCTTCCAAGTTCAGATTGTCTGTCAAGGTAAATATTTTATCTGAGTGTGACAGATGTCAACTGGCTTGATGTTTTTGGTCAAGGACTTTCTGAGTTATTGACAAAAAGATTTGAATCGGTTATTATAGCACCACCTATGGACAAATCATGGGTATTCTTTCTGGTATAGTTACTCATGGTCTCTAGTTGCAGTATGCAAATTTTGAGCATTTTTGGTCAAGGACTTTGAGTTATTCACGAAAAGCTTTGTGGACCGACCAACCGACCGACCGACAGACAGAGTGACCTATAGAGTTGCAGGTTGCTGCTAAAAAGAAAAAGAAAAAAGTATTTAATGTATTTGAAAATACAAAATACATGCATTTAATTCTGATACATTTTCTGGCACCAGTATTTTGTATTTTATTTTGATACATTTGAGGGGTATTTTGTATTTTGATACAAAATACATCAAAATGTATTTTGTAGCCTATCAAAATACATTTTGATGTATTTTTGCCCATCTGTGTGTAGGAGCCTGAATGAATACTCCATGAAGTATTGGATGACATGGTTTCATCAATGTTATCACAGCTTTTTGGTACACAGCAGCTACCATAGTTTAACACATTTGAAACAGTGAGGAGCTAGAGTGCGCTATCCATTTGAATGCAATATATGATTTCAATGTTAGATGGGAGAAATTCCTGCATACTGTGGCTTTAACATATTTAATTCTTTAAGAAAATGACTGTGATGTGATCTGAAAACTTTATTCAACCCAGAGGAGAGAGTGAGCCAAGCTGACAAACACAGACAGGAAGAAACCCCTCATAGTGACAACAGAAGTGAAAATGGACTGTGCATTTCTTGTGGCCTCCTGGATATTTAACTGTAGCTTTATGCTCAGAATTTGTGTTAGGATGCATTAGTTTCTGTGATTGTCTCAAAAAATTTATTTTGGTTGTTTTAAATGTCTTCTGTCTCTGCTAAGTTACTAAAATGATACTCATCATGGCCAGCAGAGAGCAGCATGCACTGTGAAGCAGGCCAATGACTCATGGTGACAGAGGGACAAGGAGGCATTATGTTCTGATGAACTGTCAGGTTTTCTTGAGTCAACTTTTCTCTTACAGCCACATTCAGAGGTGTTTTCTGTCCTGCCATTAACCTCTGACTTCATGGTGACATTTTATTCTGTGAAAATGAGAAGATTCAAGTCTGAAGTAGCGTTCTGCTGTCTGTCAGAATGTCTTTGCTTATATATTTTGTTTGACTTCCTCTGACTAGTCTTTGCTGTTCTGTCGTCTCTGCATGTCATCCATGTTTCACAGACTGATGTAAAGAATCAGAGTGACTCAGCTCTTCTCTATTTGAACAGGTCGACTGATTTTCAGATTATACACAGCTGTCACTCAACACAGCTGGGTTTAATTACAGATTAAAAGGAAAATCACCTGCTTGGACTCCCACTGTGCCTTTAAACCACTAAAATGTGCCAATAATATTGTCCAGTACATTTTAGGATTTCTGTGTTACATAAGATTTCTTTATGTCAGCTTTTCTGTCATATATTTGCTCTTTTGTCTTTGATTGTGAAGCACTTTGTGACATCTGCTCTTGAGAGGTGCTTTTCTTTTGTTCCACTGCAAACCAAAGAAATACTTTTATCATTACCAAAATATTTCTAATTCTACAAAAATCCTCTACTTATTTTTTTAAGCATTTAAGCAGTTTACAGTTTATTTTATTCATTTATTTTGGTAAAACTCTTCATCACACCAGAGAGGGTGATCCCGGCTGACAAAAATAAAAATGTCAGGAGAAATTCTGATTCTGACGGACCTGAACCAGAACATGTGATGATGCAGAAATCTGTGACACAGACACACACGATATTGTCTGTGTTTCATAAAAAACAAAATCATTTTCACAGTAATCAGGGAGTCATGAGCAGGAGGACGCTGACACAAGCAAAATGATTTAACAGAATATGATATATATATTCTCATGGCATAACGCTGGAGTAGGAAGATATCAGGGAAAGGCAAAAAATAAATAAAATAAAAAAATCCTCCACATGCAAGCCACCCACAGTCCCCGCCGCCTTTTTGTGGTTTTGGTCTCTTGAGGTCATTTTGCATCTCCTTGCAGTTGTTTTGTACCTTTTCATGGTCTGTTTCGGTCTCATGACGCAAATGTGTGGCTTTTTTGGTCATTTTTTGTCTCTGTGAGGTCATTTCGTGTCTCCTTGATGTTATTTTGTGTCTTCATATAGTTTTTTGGGTCTCTTGAGATAATCTTGTCTTTTTTGATCATTTTGTGTCTCCTTGCGGTCATTTTGATTCTCTGTGCGGTCAGTATGTGCTAATTTGACTGACATTTTTAGAGCAGAGACCAGGGGACCCTTTGACATTTTGTGCCCCGGGGGCTTGTGCCCAGTAGGCCTGTCAAGTATTCTAGCCATGCCAATATATGTCTGTCTACTCTGTACTGTCTCAGCTTGTGCATGAAATATAGACGCTACAAATCTGTCTCATAAATCTGTGTTAAAAGTCCATCTTGTTTCCAAATATTTGCAGTCATCCTTCACTTCAGTACCTTCCCCATGGATCTACATTTGTTGGTCGTAGGGTTTGCTTAACTGTCCTAAAGTCAAAGACGATTAATTTGGTTTTCTTGGTGTAGAAAACTGGACCAACACCAACCAATAAACTGATGTACCCACCAACAGTCGCTGGTTTCATCATCATCTTGAATCAAACCCACTGCTGCCGTAACATCAGCAGATTTAACAGTGACATGATCAGATGTGCTGCTTCTGCACTGCACTGCACTGCATAAAGAGTAAATAAAACTGAGGAAATACTGCTCCCCTGTGGAGCCTCAGCATCAGTGATAATGGGGGAGGACTCTACTGTTTATACTCTGACACACTGTTATCGGTCAGTCTGAAAGGACTCAAACCATCTGATGATCGCAGTCCCTTTTTATTTGGTACCTGTCATTTCCCTTTTTTGTTTTATTTTACCTGAAGGTCACAGCTCTCTGGAGCTGATTGGAGGGTAACTCAGGCCACCTGTTGTGCAGGTGTGGGTACTGACTACTGATAAAGAATGGAGAGCAGCTTGGTGCATTTCCACAGTGGGCCAATCAGGGTGTGACGCTGCACTCTCTGAGGGCTGAAGAGAGCTGAGAACAGGTACACCCAGGACATTCTGACTCTTCCTTGTTTGAATGCAGACTTCATGTTAGCAAACAGAAACTCTGGTCTCCAGGCCTGTTTGAGAATTCAATGCTGTCTTTTGCTGTTTGAGGGGACTTTGTCCATCTTAAAACTTCAGTGGAGGGAACATTAAAGAACCCCTTAACACTGGGTCACCTGCATCTGAACTGCTTTTGTTTTTTCATGCAAGAGTTTAGCTCGTCAAATGATCACCTAACACTCACAGGCCTTATATAGTGATTTTATTTATTGGTTTATTTGATTAAGACCCAATATAAGCCCTACCCCATATATAAACACATATGGTTATGGTTAGTCTGACTACTGCAGAGTCATTTTTTGCAAGAGTAAATGAAGTATGTAACCTTTCCCATTGAATACAAAAGCCAGATGTTAGTGGGTATTTTGTCCAGCGGGAAAGGGGCTGAAGACTCCAGGTTCCTGTTGCAAAACACGTGATACAGTAAGCACAATTTGGTGTCACGTTACAGCTCAAGAAGTTTGCATTTCTAACATATTCCCCTTAGCTGAGTATCTGTAAAAAATCATAGACTGACTATTGTCTGTACAGTCACGCCGTTTCCAAAGGAGCTAATTAGTGAAAAGCACTTTTTAGCCAATGTCAAGCCAAAACTTGAACAAAAAAAAAATAAACACAACTGGTCCCACCCTGTGTGCACGGTTCATTACCATGGCAATTTGGCCACCTTAAGAGAGCCACCTTTTAGACTCATCATACCTTGCTAATCCACTTCTGTTTGTGGTACAACCTGATGCTTTTCCCTTGAGGTTTGGATATCTTTAATAAATAAATTAAATTGATGCTCAAATCATAAAACCAGTTTGAAAAAATAATTTAAGATAAAATGGACAATCAAGGTCAGAGTTGCCTTAATGTTGCTGAGTGAAGCACACATGATGGAGAAACATTTATTGAATAGTGCATATACACAGTTCTGTGATTGGTCCTTTTTAAATGTGTAATATTTACTTTATATAACTTGACATTTATAAAGCTGAAATCTACAAGCAAAGAAAGCAACATTCACAAATACATGTAGATCACATACAGTTGGTGCTCCAGTTCATTCTGTCACTGTAATTTTAGTTCTACTTTCAAACACCAGGGGGCAGAGTTGAGTCATGACTGGCCATAGTTAAGTCCTCTCAGCTTGTTACAGATCAGATGTAGAATTCTTGGTCATCTTCTTCCTCCTTGTCTGCCTCTTGAACTGGAGCACTGATAACGCTGCAGCTGTCGGACTGGTTTAAAGAAACGTCACTCAGAGACGGAGCAGCACTTGTGTTCACACTGGTGCTGTGGATACGTGACCCAAACAAGGTGGAGGGAGTGCCACTGGTGGTAAAGCTGTTCGGAAGCCGTCCCAGTGTGGTGGCCCTGTAGGTGTTCTCTGGGATGCCGGGAGAGAGGGATGGGCCGACGTCTTCTGGTGGCGCCGATAACGGCCGAGTCTGTGGCAGGCTGGATTTGATGTACGCAGACACCACTGTGAGGTCCACAGTGCTGCTTGGGTTCACTTTGTTCCCCGTGTCCACATCTGTCTCCTCCGCCCCGATCAGAGCGTCCAAGTTGAGGCGGAAGGGCGGGATGAGGGAGGAGCTCCTGTGATGGTGGGGGCTGGGAGATGGTCCAGGAGAGGAGCAGGTGGAGCGGGAGCTGCCTGAGCCCAGGTTGGGGAGAGAGAAGAGGGAGCCAGACCGGTGGCCCCTCCACTGGGACCTCCAGGTGTCCGGGTGGTGCTGGTCAGGCCACTGGTCCTGCTCCTCCGGCTCCTCACAGACCAGAGTTTGGGAGCTGTGGGCGGTCTGGACTCTGGAACGGGACATCGCCCGGTGGTGGTGACGACGGTTCCTGTAGGAGGCGGAGCTGCGGGTGAAGGTGGATGGAGCCGAGGCTGACTGGGTGACAGAGGATGAATGGATGTAGCAGGGATCCTGTTGGTGTCTGAAGTGTGCACCTTGGACCTGAGCAGGATGAGAAGGAAAAATAAACGGGATTATATACAGCAGGATTTGTATGAAACTTTATCAGAAGTTGTAGTCCAGTTACACACCAAAAAAGACAACTCAAAAAGTCAGAAACTTTGTCTTTTGTAGAATAAATTTTAGTAGTAGTGGTGCACAATTCATGCATAATATGCAACACAAAGATGATCATTATTATTATTTGTTACAGTATTATCAGTAGTGTTTGACTCTGTGAGAAAAGTGGAATATTAGGTGGTGATTCGGAGGTCAGCCCAAAAAAAATGTTGGCCTTGTACGTTTCTGCAAACCATGAATGTTACATTTTTATGTTTTATATGTATCATATCAGCGTTTCTAAAGTGACGTAGTTTATGAACTGACTTTGTCATCAGGAGGTGAAGGGGATGGAGGATTCCATGTCACCTGGGTAAGACACCTACCGAGCTGCAGACCACTTCTCAAGACCAACAAACAAAACCAGTTGTTCTTTAGTTATCGCTGTTTTTCCTCTGGGGACTGTGCCACCCAAAAACTGGGTATATAAAGCCAACACTTGATCTTTTCCTAACCAGAACTAAGTGGGTTTTGTGCCTAACCCTAACCACACGGGGCCTCCCAGTGGCTCACCTGGTAGAGTGTGCCACACATACTACAGCTGTGTCCTACCTGCAACGATTCCAACCTCAGGCCCTTTGCTGCACATTATCCACTCTCTCCTCTCCCCCCTTTCCTGTCACTTTGTCTGCACTATCAATAAAAGGCAACTTGATGAAACAACAACAACAACAAAAAGTTCATGGTGTAGCATTTGGGTTGAGTTGCACTAGCAACTTCTACTTGCACAAAGTGTGTTTAAGTACAAGTCGCCAGTCAAAGGCAGGTAACCTCTGTTTGCAATAAACCCTTCAAGAATACACTCTTTTCCATCAAGTGTGTAATAATTGTTTCCTCTATCTTATAATCTACCAAGAAAGCCCAAAAATATCCAGAGCCTCCAACATCTCAGGGTGAATCTCATCCACTCCTGGTGCCTTGTTACTGCAGTTTTTTAACTCGCGTCACCTCTGGCAGAGAGATGGACAGGGCTTTCCCTGAGCCTTCCCACAGAGGGGAGTTCCTTCCATCTCCAGTTATTCCTGCCTATAAACCCCGTCTTCCCCTCCTGACTGAGTCATCTGACAATCTGCCAGAACAACTTTAAAGGCTGACTGTCCCTCTGCGTGGCTTTCCTAAACTCTTCCTACAACTGTTTTCACTTCCATGACCTTCTGGAGTCCTTCACCTTTTAGCTTGACCGCCTCCTTCATAGATCTTATGTTAATAACGAATAAGGAGTCATTACTCACGAATCATTAGTTTTGATAAAAATTTTAACTGCAGTGACAAATAACCTAAATAAACAATGTTTTACTTTTAGATCATGTCTCTTGCCTTATCTGATCTCTCCATCATATCACACACAACTGGCCCTAGAAGATCACATTCTTATCCTATAAATGCCAGTTCATGTACAGGAAATGCTGCATTCATGGTTGTTGTGCTGCTGCAGTGAAGGCTTTGGTTCAGCTCGTTTAGATCCATGTCCACAATTTCCCACAAGTCTGGCTGAAGATTTCTGATCACCCCGCTGGCAGATTTCGTTGTTTCATACTGCCGAATTTCTTACAATTACACCATAATCTACCTGAGCTTGACGGTTCCTTCATGACCTTTGCCACCGCAGTATATTCAGAATATTTTGTTTGTTTGGAGGACTGCTGCGGTAAAACAGCATAGCAACTCTCCCACGCATGTCCCAAAGAGGTGGTTAAATCTGAGGTCAAAGGGGTTACAAAATAGGAGGTGCATATTCAAGACTATTAACTTCTCCCTGTAGGGCTCTCGTGCAACCAAGCACTCTTCACGCAACATGCAGCACTGCAAAGCAAAGGAGGAAGGGGTACAAGAGAACCCCGGGGTTTAAAAAAGCCCCCACAGGCCCCCTTTTCTCAGCCAGGCCACTTTATGAATCACAGCAGCAGCTGGAGAACTCATCAGAGTCCAGACAAGTCTCACGTGTATCACACCTCCATTTATCGACCAAAGTCTCTTAAAACTCAGACTGCTGTTCAGAAAAGCTGCTACACCACAAATCTCCAGTCTCATCATCATCCACTAACAAGTCAGCTCTGTTTTTAACATGTGAGGCAGCTGCAGCAGTATTCATTTCATCGCTCTGTCAGTTCAGTTTTCTCGTCTGTGTTTTCCTTCGCTGTGAGTACTGAAACGCGCCGCTCCCTCCTCCTCATCATGCTGATAGTTTCTCCATGTTTCTGTTCTCATGTCTGCTCCATCATCCGGCCTTCTAACCAAACAATACAAGCAGAATCAAGAACTTTCCACTCAGCAGCCTCAAGGCAATTATTTCCAAGAACACTGGGATGGAGGAGAGTTTTCAGTTTTCCATATGTTCAGGTTAAAAAACAATAAATATCATGGAAGCAAATCTCAAAGTTTCCTGAGAACAAGAGTTAAATAAAAATATATTCTTAAGTATAAATATTCTTACTGATCATGGTGGGCTGAAACCAAATATTCATACAGTGCATACACCTTCAACTTCAGATGTATGACCCCCAATTCATCACTTAATGCCTGCCGTACATGAGAAGACTGAAAATACTTTGAAAAGACTAGAGTGTTTAGGCACACACTTAGATTGGGCAAAGACTGGGGATCTTCCATGGTCACTATTTGCTCGACTAAAACTGAGAAATATGACTAACAATTCCTTACATGTGCGCAACAACTGTGCGCACATAACTTTTGAAACACATGATAAAAGTATCTTTAAAGATGAAGTTGTACAGACAAACTTTACATTTTAGATTTTGTCACCTCAGCTTGCTGCCAGCCCCTGTTGGTTAGCTTTTAGTGGGAGGAGTCTGTGGGAATGAGAGGTGAACCGTTTCAAAAATTAAAATTTCTCACTGAAAGTGCTGGTTGGTGGATCAGATACATGCAGAATTAAACACAGACTCTTGTTCACGTCACCATGTTTGCTGTTGTAAATGTTGTTGACAATGTTCACGTCATTAACCTTAAGTATTTGCACAAGACTAAAAAGTTATCATCATACCAAACATGTTTGATTTTGTCTGAAAGTCAAGACAGGAAAAAGACAGCTTAGACCATGTTAAGGCTAATTTATACTCCCTTTACATACGTAAATAGGTACATCCGTTCCAACGTCACTGCCCTCACACGTCCATGCTTAATTTATGATGGCATAGATACAGGTAATAAATCACACTAGAGGGTGGAGTCAACGGAGGTAGCATTGCAGACAGTGGTGGTCTGTGCAGCCATTACATATATTCTTTTCACTATATTACTGATTAGTTCTGCCATTATTAAAATTTCTCCGCCATCTCCTATGCTCGTATCTTGCTTGAGCTACACTATGCTGCCCCCACAACTCTGGTGGTACTGCTTCATTTCATTCGTATCTGTAAGCCTTCAGAAAACGCGCACAAATATGGACGAAATGAACGCAGAGCACAGACAGAACGCCTTGTTTGTGACTGATGTCTGTAGCCACGGGGGAGAGGCGAATTTTGTCAGTTTTTCATAATCCAGCAGTTGGGAACATTACAGGATCAATACTGCATGGCATAAATAAAGATGTTGGCCTGTCAGTTACATGGCATGATTTATGAAATCTTTCATTATGTACAGCTGAATGAGTCACAATGAGTCTGACTGTGTATAATGTATAACTGTATTTTAGCAGAATAACATTACAAAGATTGAAGTTATTCAAGTTAACAAGTTATTTTAAATCAAACAAACTCACCTGACAATCAACAGGCAACTGAACTGAAGGAAACAGCCTGTTAGCTAGTTAGCAGCTTGTTCCCTAAGCTAGCACACTGTCATACAGTCTCTCCGAAATCCACTGCAAAAGTAAAACATTTTTTAACATAGTCAAGGCAAATTCCAAACTGAAATGTTGCAGAGGGGAGGAGTTTCACAGGCACGTCAGATATCAGAGATTCCCATAGGAATGAATGGACTTCCAGCTGACTCCTCTCCATACACATACTGAAGTGAAATGAGGCAGAGGTCTCTGTCTGTCTCCGTTTCTAAAAACAGTCGATCATGGAGCGCACACCAACTGAGGTGGAATTCTTTTTTTTATTCAACATTAGAAATATGTCTACGACAGTGAAATCCCTTGAAGTTGATGGTGTAAGGTTGGCATACTGTAAGATGGAATGCATACGGAGAAAAATTAAACCTATAATCTGTGATTAACACTGAAAGCTCATGTCAAAAGAGTATAAAAAAGCACAACAATGTGAGACCACTGACCCCAGTGTCTCTATCTATAGTAACAGTGCAGCTCGTTAGGGAAACAGCTCATTAGGGGGACGCCTGATTTTGTGAGTGTCTCGTTGAGTGGACTGAATGAGAGGCGAACAATCACACCAGCTCTCATTATCTGCTCAGAGCTTTGCTCCCTTTGATGTGTGTGTGTGTGTGACAGTTTACGCGATGTTATTGAGGTTATAGCGGAGTGGGAAGAGTGTGTGCAAAGAGAACGTGTTATGTTACATAAACAAGATTCATTTGTGCCATTTGTCTGCTCACAGGTTGCGGCTGCAGGGTGTGCACACAGAACCTGCTCTTGTCCAGCGTCAACTCAGACATCCAAAACAGCGACACTGTACAGCGCATCAACATATCCATCCAGCTCACAAAGACAGCCTGAAATGACTGCAGTCAAGTCCAATAAACACTTTCAGGTGAAAGTTCAGGTGAAACACAACCTTATTTAGTGTCTTATTTTGATACACAACCTGACAGTGTAATTTTGGGTAAAAAGTTGTGGTACAATTTTATCTATTTTTGCCTCTCAGTGAATAAGGACCACTCTTTATTCTTTTAATAGCATTCACCATTTATTTCTTTACCAACACATTGTGAAACAATTTGGGAAGAATGGCGATCGACTG